CTTAGTCTGGAACAGGCTTATGTGCTGGTCTGGAGATAGTAGTCACAGGCGAATCAGACTAATGATGAGTCACTGTGTGACTGTATGAACCATGAGTAGGTCAAGAGGTTCAGCCAGGGAGGAGAGGGCCCTGGAGGCCCTTCAGCAGGACTTGAGCCGGACTGTAAAAAAATGGACGAGCTTTGGAAATGTGCAGAAGAAGGAAGGCATGTCATGCAGATTTTAAACATAAGAATCTTGGGGAAGATTGATGGTCATAGCCTATCCTGAGTGAGGTTGGCAACACCAGCTGGGGAGGGGTGTAAGAGTCCTTGAAAACATTGACAGTTTGGGGCATTTTGAGGTCATGAAAAACAACTGGGGTGTTCTGCTTTGTCCTGTTGGGAGAAAGGCAGGACATGCTGGGGAGAAAGGAAGTGTGTGGGTGGGTGGTGCCACCAAAGCAGGACTATTCCAAGACTAATCTGGTTGTAACAGGAGAGAGCCTGGTGGTGTCACAATAAAGGTTGAGGCTGGGTCCCTTGCAGGAAGCAGCATGATGTGGCAAGGGTCTAACTCAGGATGGTGGTGATTGAAACCTGGGGCTCCATGACCAACTGAGGGCAAATCAGCCTGGCTGCAAGCATTTGAGCATTGTAGGAGTGGAGTCCAGGACTCTGCTGAAGCATTGCACCATCAAACTGTAATCTGAGCTCCAACACAGTGACTGCTTGCAGTTTGTGGACCTTATTGAATCCTGAATTTTGCAAACCAACTATTAAATAGTTATAATGTTTGAAAAAATCCAAATGCTAACTAAATTTGATAACATTAAGGTATTACTTTTTAAGGGTGATAATGGTATTCTAGTTTTGTTTAAACTCCTCGTGTTTTAGAAATATATAATGAGGACCGGAGATGTAGCTCAGTGGTAGAGGGCATGCCTCACATGGCCAAGGTCCTGAACTTAAACCCCTGTACCACCAAAATGAAAACAAAAAACATAATGAAATATGTGCAGGTGAAATCTATCTGAATTTGTTTCAGAGTTATCCAGGGAGATGAAGCAGGACAGGTTGTGAATTCTGCACTTTCAAAACTGGGAGATACAAACTCATTTCATCCTCTCTCTACTATTGTATACATTTGAAAACTACTCTTTGTGTGTGTGTGTGTGTGTGTGTGTGTGTGTGTGTGTGTGTTACTGAAGGTTGAACCCAGGGTGCTCCACCACTGAGCTATATTCCCCAGCCCTTTTTACTTTTTTAAAGTTCTGGATCTGGATAATGCAGGTTGCATGGCCTGGGATTTATAATCCCCACTCAGAAGTCACAAGAGCCATTTTGAATTGGGCCACGTTAATCTCTTGATACATTTCAAAACAGAAATTCTGTCCACTTCTTTTTGCCTAGAGCAGGAAAACCCATGAACTGGAAAGAAATAATCTCTTGATTTTATTTGGGTAAACAAACTGTGAGATACACATGATCTCCTTTATCATGATCATGGGATGAATCCAACCAACTGAAGAGGTGAAATCAAAATCCAAAGCAAAATCAAGTGTTTACAGTAGCTGGAAATAAATGCTGCCTTTAGAAGAGTCACTCCCAGCAGAGTGGCAGCGGAGCACTTGGCAAGAGTGTGAAAGCTAAGACTCAGTTGAAGAATTGCAGCCTGCAGTGTAGCTGCCAGCAAGGTCAGGGCTACTGTAACCACAAGTCACAATGGGCCCAACAGAGACTAGTGGGAATCAGGGGTCCAGTACAATCACCCTGGATGTTGGTTGTCCTGGCGCCCACCCTGTGGCAACTCTATTGCTCACTGCAAGCCACAAAGACAAGAGATTCGGGCTGGGGTTGTGGCTCAGTGGGTAGAGTGCTTGCCTAGCACATGTGAGGCACTGGGTTTGATCCTCAGTACCACATAAAAAGTAAAAAATAAAGTTATATTTAAAAAAAATACAAGAGTTTTATCTGACAGTGTCCCCAGCTGTTCAAGAAGAGGACAGAAGCCATTGCCAGGAGCTGGATGGGGGTCCTCTCAGGCTACAGGGCAGAAACCAGACTCATTTTAGGAGTGGTCCCAACTACAACCCATCCTCACACAGGTCAACTGGAAAGTTAGGAGGGTACACTGTGAACCTGCATAAGTGATCCATGTCCTCCTCTTTTCTGAAAGGGAAAATATATGGGGGATTAAGGTGGGTACTTGCTTCCCCTGAAAAGGATCAAGCAGGAAAACATTCATGGAAATCCAGCTCAGTTAATATGTGAGGGCCTTCTCTGTGCCAGGCCTCATAGGAAATGCAGGTATGAATGAGACACAGCCCTCGCTTCTAAGGAGAGTGTGGGAGAGGGAGGACACACGTATCTAGATCTTCTTCATAAGTACTGTGCAGGACAAAGAAGCTGCGACCCAAGCAAGGCGACTCTGTTTCTAAGTCAAAGTCTAACTTTGGACGAATCATTTTATCTTAAATTTCCATCTATAAAATGTGGCAATTCTTATCTTCCTTATTCCACAGTTAGAGAGTTAAAAGGATGAAATAGAACAACAACAATAATAAGGACAACGATGATGAGGGAAAACAGCAGGAAGAAGCATAGAAAAGGCTCTTTAGAAGTGGTGCTCTAAGCCCTTGACAGGTGCCTGAGGATGTGCTTGCCTGTGGATAGCAGCCAGGACAGAAGCAGGTTCCTAATGCAGATGCTGTCCCCTCCCCAGCCAGCCCCAGGAGCTCCAGTGCCCTGCGCCCTCATTCCCAAAGCTGCACAGGTGCTGCCTTGGCCTGAGCAACCCTCTCAACTCGTTCTGACTCGCCTGGTGCAGAGGGTGAGGGTGCTTGGCTCTGATATTCTTGATAAACTTCAGAGCTTCTAGAACACATCGTCCAACCCTCCCATTTGTGACAAGGGCAGGGGAGGCTGCAGCAGGGAACACGACCTGCTCGCGGCTGCTCACCCAGGTGTGGGACAGCCAGTGCTGCAGGCTGCTTCTTTGGACACTCCAGGTCCAATATCGCATTGCTTCTCTTTCCAAGGAAACTTTTGTCTGGACACTGTTCTTTTTAAATCCTTAGTCTTTTCTATTCCTAAATACCTCATTTAGTCCTAACTTCTTATAAATGCAGGGCACGATTAAGAAAGATTCCTCCTTATAAGCGTTTCCCAAGCTCTGTGATTGGGAGAAATGATAACTGCTCATCGGGCATGTGGTCCTGCTCACGACCTGGGTTTACAGAGAAGGAAATAAGCTGTCCTTGTTTTCCAGAAGCTCTTGTTTAGTTAGCACTAAAATGCCCTCTTGATGAAAACCTTGGACTTCCACTCTGGGAAAAGAAAGTCCTAACCCAGTTCTCTTCAGTCAAGTGTACAAGAAAAAGTCATCTCAGTGCTACATTTCTGTACTTCCTGAGTTTTCCCATTCATGCCTAGTTGGCAGCTTTTCTCTCCCTGGCTGTAGGCCCAGGCAGTGCTGTGAGCACAGGAAGGCTGATGGCCTCTCTTGGGAAGTCCTGCCATCCTGTGTCCTCTCCTGATGTTGGAGTTAGCATGATACCTCATGATGACTTTGCTCTTATGCCACTGAAGAGTTCAGTTTTGCTCCTAGCTGAGGAACTACATTGCTCTACTTCCCCCCTGGAGTGAACACTTGGTATCCTCCAGCTTCTTTCTCACCCAGTTGTTCTGTGGTTGTAGTTGAGTTACCGAGTCTGGGGTTTTAAGATCTTGAAATGAAGAACACATGAATGGATACTGGCACACACAAAAGAGAAAACTGTTGTTTGGTTTCCTGTTGAAGTGTGTTATTCTCTATGGAAGTGTGTTCCTTCCCCCTAACCTAGTTCATACCCTTTCCTGTGCCCGCATTCTGATGAATGGACCCCAGATGGCTTCATTCCCAGATCTGAGAAAACCCAACAGGCACCATGGATTCTACCCTAACGAGCCATGACACGCCAATTATTTGCTTTCCTGGAGAAATCTCAGCTTGAAAATCTGTTTAATTACCATGGGAGATAATCTTTTAAACACAGATTTACATTCTTTAAAGATTTTCCCTGTGGGAGTAGGATAGTTTATCTGAACATGGAATGTTTATTTTCATTTCCAGAGAAGTGACTACTATCTGGTAGTTAGCAAGAAGCTTGAGCCCTGGAGGATTTTTGTGTTAAGTCTGTTCCTCATCACTGATAATTTGTCAATTATATTGTAATAATTAGTTTGTAGTATTGTCATGCTACTCCGGAGGAAACCCTGCACTTGGCTCCATGGTTCCAGGCCTGTACTTGACATTTTTCAAGCATCCCTGTCAGGTTGGACTCTGCACTCTAAATGGGGTATCAAGAGTCAGTGTCTTCAAGGATTTCCTATGAGGAAGGTCACACCTGTAAATCCACATCCTACCTGGACCTGTGGTCAAATACCATTTTTTCCCAAACCTGGCACAGCTCAACAGCTTCACTAAGTTTTTCCCCATTACAATGCCAGCTTGGATGAGCAGGGCTGCTCTGACGTTCAACCTGATGGCTCCAAGACCCAGAGCAGTTCCTGGCTCATAATAAATTCTCAATAAGCAGATGGTAAATTCCCGAATGCCAACAGTCTTCATGTGGAGAGAATGTGTATTGTGTCAACACAGGAACTATGTGCAAAATAAAACTGAGTTGGGGAAGCCCGAGACTCTGACATGGGCTGCTCTAGTTCTTCATTCCTCACATCACTTTTTTTTTTTTTTTTAAACATGGTACTGGGGATCAAACCCAGGGCCTTGTACATGATAAGCAAGCACTTTATCACAAAGCAACATCTCCAGCCTCATTCCCCATTTAATTTTAATGGCAGGTGGTCTTGAGATGTTTGCTGTATCTGATTCTGTAGTCTGAGATCTCTGGGTTTTAAACAGCTTAGCTTTGGGGATCAAGAAAAGAGCCTGGAGTAATTGTATTGAACATGGGGTAAGAAGAAGAAGAAAAATGCTTTGTGGAAAACTAAATCTTGGAGTTGAATCTCTCCTTACAGGTCCTAATGGGGAGAAGAGCTGGTCCAAGAAGTACCCATTATGTGGGGGCCTGCTGCAGTCCCCAATCGACCTGCATGGTGACATCCTCCAGTATGATGCCAGCCTTGTGCCTCTAGAGTTCCAAGGTTACAATGTGTCTGCCAATGAGCAGTTGAACCTGACCAATGATGGCCATTCAGGTGAGTGAGAGACCTTGGAGACCTGAAGGGATAGGTCTGAGCTTCCCTTGGCTCCTTGGCCTGCCCTTTTCCACCTGGCATGGAGGGACTCCACAGAGACATCCAGGAGATGGGACCTAGTAGGGGAGCCTTTGAGGTCTGCCTGGCCTACTCTCTCCAGGGGATGCTGGATTCAGGTGATTCTGACAAAAGAAGCACTTCTCTCAGGATGGGGGAGGAGACAGGCCTGAGCTTCTGGGTCCACTGGATGTGTAGCAGGAGTGAATTTGGGGCCATTACGAACTCCTCAAGGGACATACAGTTCTATTGTAGGGGTGGGCATCCAGGCTTTAGAGTCAGACACACCTGAATTTGAACCCTGGCTTGACTATTTTTGAGCCATCAGATTCTGGGTAAGACTTAAACTTCCATGCGTTTTCATCTGGAAAATGGACATATTGATGAGTACTGAGAAGACTAGAGATTAGGTGTGTCAAGGTCTGGCATATAATAAATGCTTCACAAATAGAAATTATTGTTGTTATATAAATCTAAAGCCTGGAAGGTGCTTCACTAAACGTTCTATCTTCATAGCCAGATGTTGATATATAAAGAAACATCCATTACTGATCTAGAGTTAGTGCTTCCAGAATTACTTTCCAAGAGGAACCCTGAAGGTGCTGGAGTTGCTTTAGGGAATGGGGTGTTCTTGGGGAGGAGGCCAGTTTTCTGACCTGCAGGCTGCATCTCTCTAGTCTGCACCTTGCTGCAGCCACCCACTCCATCCAGACCTGGGGCGGGGTCACCTATCTGACTGCTCTCTGGTGCTGGGTAGGGCTCTGAAGGCTGCCCCTCCTTTCCCCAGTGAGACTGATCCTGCGCTCAGACATGCACATCCAGGGCCTCCATTCCCACCGATACAGTGCCACCCAGCTGCACCTGCACTGGGGGAACCGCAATGACCCCCGTGGCTCTGAGCACACCATCAGTGGGAAGCCCTTTGCTGCTGAGGTGAGTGAATGACCAGTATGGAAGAGGCTGCCTGGTGGTGGGCGGGCTGGTCAGTGCATAGGTAAGTCAGGGGATGGGCAGCAGTCAGCGCCTGTGAGCAGCACTGGAAGGTACAACTGCTCCAGCCATGCTATAGTTATTCTGTTGGTATCCTGGTTCTCCTCCTGTGAACAAGCTGAGTTTGTCTCTCTTTTCCTTAGTGATCTTGCTGAGAAGGCCGGGCTTCCAAGATGGCACAGAGGGACATACTCCTTTTCTAAATGCCTTCCTCCTTTCTGTGCAGACGAAGAGCTCATCAGCTTGCCTGGCTGATGCATCCTGCTGCTAAATCATACTGGTGCATTCCTCCTCCAAACTTCACAGTCTTCTCCACATGTCAGGCTGTTTTGAAATGTCCTCCCTATCTCATTCTTTCTCTCTCTGAACATGGATTATGCTTGAGAACATGGGGACAGGTCCAGGGCCACTCTTCTGCTTGGCTACAAATCAAGGGATGATTGACACTGTAATATAGAACATCATAGCAATCAGAGATTCACAGAGGCTCATTTAGGATATCAGCATTTTGTTATGTCACCCTGAGGTGCTAAGCCAAAAATGTCAAAGGAAAATGAGAAATAGCAGTTTTCCTGTATCACAAGTGTGCAATGGGGTGAGAAAGGGAGGGGCACTGAGCTGCTCCATTTCAGAGCTCCTGAAGCACTAAGCTGGAGCTGGGGCTCCAAGTGTTTACAGAGAATTAAATACAAGGAGATCAATGCTCCTGATCAGCCAGCGGAGCTCTTGGTAAATAACGGCAAGACCCTTCTCCTCTGCTGAACTGCTTAATGTCTCGGGCTAATTATAAGTCTGATTACAAGCATGGAGGGGATGTGATTCTGGTTGATCAGATGGCACTACTGGAGGTTCACATATTTCAGCACAGGCCCTTCCCTGAAGCTCAAGAACTGCAATTTCTTCCAGGCTAATTGCAAGGTTGAGGCTTCTACCTCCCCCATGGGGAATAAAGAAGGAGTTAGGGTGCAGGTTGTGAGGGTTTGTGCATTTAGAAATATTTCTTGTTCTTGTATTTTTTGCTATTAAGCCATACCATCAGACCAAGAGCCTGGTGAAGATGAGCCATAGATGCCAATACTAGAGAAAAGACATCAGGGTGATCTTAAATGGCTGATTCTCTAGGAGAATCTTTGAAAGCAGTGGTTCTTCTAGATGGAGACTATAAAAGGAGATTCTCAAACCCCTCAGCAGGAAAGTCCATTGGGCCTGGATTAGTGTTCGCTTCCTTCTGATTTAATCTGAACACATTTAGAAAAGTGCTCAGAGTCCAAGCTCAAAGGTAATTTGTAAAAGAAATAAAGACCCAGGGCTGGGGTTGTGGCTCAGTAGTAGAGCACTTGCCTAGCATGTGTGAGGCCTTTGGTTCCATCCTCAGCACCACATAAAAATAAATAAGTAAAATAAACATGTTGTGCCCAACTACAACATATATATATATATATATTTCCATATAAAAATATATATATATATATATATATAATTTTTTTTTAAAGAAAGACCCAGGTTGTTGGGGATTTAGCCACATAGAATTCCACTGTGTTTCTCAAGGCCATGCCAGGCCAACATGGCATGTGGGAAAGATGGTGAAGCCGGGAACCCCCAAGAAATCCTAAACAGGGAACTCAAAGAAGAATTGATACAGTTTTTTAAGATGAGAAAGGACCACTTAAAAAGTTCCAAATGGAGGCTGTGGATGTGGCTCAGTGGAAGAGTGCTTACCTTGTCCGTGTAAGGCCCTGAGTTCAATCCCTAGCACCACAACAAACAAACAAACAAAACCAAAAAATCAAAACAGCAATAAAGACAAAAAAATATTCCGAATGGGGGACTTTAAACTGTATTCAATAAAATGTGCTTGAATTCTGTTTCTAAACACATACAATGGAAAATGAGATGAATGAAAAGAAAAAGAGATTAAAATCTAAATGTGTCATAGTCTCAAGGACAAAGATCAATAAAAATACATGTGCTGTGTATGCAGGACTATTTACTAGTAACAGTTTTTTGAAGCCCAGGTGACCACACCTTAAGGATTAAAAGTCAACCTAAACATTGTCAGAATTTGTCACAGCAGTGATCTTTTTTTTTTAATTTAAAATTTTTTTATTAGAGCATCATAATTATACATAGTAATTGGGTTAATTTTAACAATGCCTAGGGCCTCACACATGCCTAGGCAAGCATTGTACTACTGAGCTACATCCCCAGCTTAGACTTAGACTTTTTAAACCCATGACTTCTCAAAAACTTACCTTTTGTATACCTTAATAATAAAAAGTAATTTCTGCTCTGGAAAAAAAAATGAGTTTAGAATTTTACTTTGTGAAGATAGATGTCTATGTATATGGAGTAACTTTGCTTCATGGCCTCTTAAAATGTGGCTGATAAAAACCTTTATAAGTGCCATGCTATGATTTTATCCACCCAACGGATAAATCTGCATGTCCTGTGCTGAATCAATTATGATTAAATTACAGCTAGAGGTTTTCCTGCTCTATCTCATTGCTTCTAGATAAGTGCAGAGAGGCCAGGGCTGAGGCTAGGCAAGCCATAGACTCCAGAATAAGTAGGAAAAATCAGAAGGGGAAGAGATTCAAGCGCTCAAGTTTCTTTATGGCCAATATAAAAACCCATTCATTTATTCATTTATGTCTATTGCACATCTGGTACTTTCCTGGTGCCTTCTCAGATACCAGGGGTCCAATGAGTGAGTAAGAAATAGTCTGTCCTAGTGGGAACTGAAGTTTGGAGAGGACTGAGGGAAAAGGGAAAAGTGGGGATACCAAGAGGGGAGGGTTGGTTGGGGGAGGGGAGGGACAGGTATCTATCCTCCCAGTTGACTTCTAGTCTCCAGTAGAAGGGAAAGCTTCCTGTGAGAGCCACTCATCCCCTGACAGGCAGCTTCTCTCCCACTGCAGCTGCACATTGTCCATTATAACTCAGACCTGTACCCCAACGTCAGCTCTGCCAGTGACAAGTCAGAAGGCCTCGCTGTCCTAGCTGTCCTCATCGAGGTAAGAAATGTTTAAAAGGTTTTCATGAAAATTGTAGTGAGGACAAGTTTGAGATTTGACGTTTTGTTCTGTGTACACCTGAGGTAATAAGCTGATCCCTTATGCTCCCCCATGTTACCTCCAGAGCATGAATAGTCCCTTTGAGTTCTTTCTTGGCCTAGAGGCAGCCCTTTCTGTGGTTGGAGAGGGGAAATGGACATGTCTTTTGTGACACTGGAAAAATAAGGCCCAGTCTCCAGCCTTGTTGCATGAGGCATGTAATTTGCTCAGCAAGGGAGAATCTGTGGGGAAGAGGGTCACTACGCTGCCCTGTCAGATTCTGAGCCCCTGATTTGTCCTCCAGTATCCAAACTCCATGCTATCTATATATGGACCCCATGCTATCTATATATGGACCCCAGAGTGAATTCTTTACTCAGAAAATGGGATCGTCTTCTGATTAGCTTGCGTATTCCCTAATGAGGCAGTATTACCTCAGTTCCCAACGTGCTTACTTCTCTGACTTGGTTTTTGTGAACCCAGAACTCCCTTAAGTTCTGGGTTAGATGGACATGCTAGTTGTGGCCTCCAGGCTCATGTACAGATAATTGGATACCATGTACAGACACTCTGTACCCCATGCCATGGGACATTCAAGCCTGATGCCTTCAGTTGTAAATAGGAAATCATTTGATATGACATGGCAGGACCATTACACTAACTCCCAACAGCCTCTGAACCATCCTAACTATCCTAGTAGGATGGATTCTCAGAGATGACCAGAGGGCAGGTGGCTACATACCATCAGCTCAGCCCTTCTGATAGCAATTGTCAATCCAGACTTAGCCTGTAGTATTCTGTCCTAGCAAAACCTGCATGGTCTCTGTTGCAGATGGGCTCCTTCAATCCATCATATGACAAGATCTTCAGTCACCTTCAACATGTAAGGTACAAAGGTAAGGGGCCCTTGGATTCTTATCCCCTTTCTGCTCGAGAAGGATATAGTCACACTGTTTAAGAAAAACAATGGAAAGGGAGGGTCCCTTCTGTGTTTACCAGGGTAAGGGCTGGTTGTTTAAAAGTGTATGACAAGGCTTTTGGGTTGGATGTCCCAGAAAGGGGTGAGTTCATATTTCTAGGTGAAGTCACTCTGCTTAGCTACATCTCTGCTGTGGGGAGTGAGGCTGACACTGTCTCCCCAACATGTCTCTCCAGGCCAACAAGTGCTCATCCCAGGTTTCAACATTGAAGAACTGCTTCCTGAGAGGCCTGCCGAGTACTACCGCTATGAAGGGTCCCTGACCACACCTCCTTGCCACCCCACTGTGCTCTGGACGGTTTTCCGAAATCCTGTGCAAATTTCCCAGGAGCAGGTAACTGCCTGAGCCAGAGTCCCCATGGTACCTTGGTCCCCACCACAAACCATATCACAATCAATGACTCTATTTCCTTGTTTAAGAGTTTCACTGGCAGCTATTCAAAACCTCTCCAAATATCACCGGTGCCTGAAAACACTGCAGAAATTATAGGCTGAGCTTCAGAGAGATGCTACAAAGTCAAGCTAGGAAAATGAATGCTTGCCTCCACAGTTCTTTAAAAAAAGAGCTGAAAGACTGCATTTGTTGATATATTCCTTAGCAGCTGGGTGGTATTCACTTCCCAGGTCAGGGAGGAGCCTGGTTCTTTTAGAAGGCAAAATAGAGATGGCATCAAGTTAAATCATTTCACAAATGGGGTGTGCGATTGCAGTAATGAGTGAGGGTTGCTGCCCTCAAGAAGCTCAGTCTACTGCAAAGTGGGGTACAAAGTCCTTAGCAACCGTCTCTAAGCCTTTCATGTTATAGTGATAGAAATGAAGGTTAGAAGCTTGCTGGATCATCCACTGGTTAATGACAAAGCCGAGCTCCAAAGTCAGGTCTTCTGGGTTTAAAGTTATAGCTCATCCCTCTCTGCCACAACTTAAAAGCATGAAAAAGAAAATTGGCTCCCCCAGGAGCTGGAGCTACACACCTGCTCACCCCCACCTCAGCTTCATGGTCCCGTACAGCCCTCATTGTTGCTCCTAATCTTCACTACCAGCTTCTGAGCTAAGAACCTAGATAAATTGGCAGCAGGTAGGCGGATGGGAGCGAGGATGGTGAATCAGGAGGTGAAATTGTGGGGAAGCAGCAGCATGCTAACCCAAAAACTACCTTGGAAATTGATTATATAATCTCTGTGGGTATGTGAAAATGCCAGGAAGTCAGTTGTCAGATGACCTAGGAACCTCTTAGCTCTCTCCTTTTATTCTTCTGTGACTACTGGAACAAGCTCCAGGCCCCTTTGCTTTAAGAGCTGGGGTTTTGGCACACACCTGTAATTTCAGCGACACAGGAGGCTGAGGCAGGAGGATTACAAGTTCAAAGCCAGCCTCAGCAACTTAGTGAGGCCCTAAACAACTTAGTGAGACCCTGTCTCAAAACAAAACTCAAAAAAGAGCTGGAGATGTGGCTCAGTGGTTAAGCACCCCTGAATTTAAAAAAAAAAAAGAGTTGGGTTTCAGTTTGAGGGGAAGGGAGCCTCCGTGAGAAGCTAAGGAGCCCTCTGTCTCTCCAGCTTTCCCTCTGTGGGGACAGATTCTGGGTGTAACCAGGGCCCAGCAGCATGGCCCTTCCCTGGAGTCTATGCAGCTGGAAAACGCCAGCACTGACCAGTATCCAGTTAACAAGACTCCTGTGGAAGCAGGAAGAAACAGTTCTCTGGCTTCCCCACTGCTTTCTAATGCCTCCTATTAAGCATCCCATGGGCTGGTTCCAGAGGCTTCTCCCAGGGGCTCTCTTCAGGGAGGCCAGACCAGGGAATATCACTCTGCCCATGGGTGTGTTTCTGCTCTTTCCCTCAGCTGCTGGCTTTGGAGACAGCTTTGTATTTCACACAACTGGATGACCCTTCACCAAGAGAAATGATCAACAACTTCCGTCGGGTCCAGAAGTTCGATGAGAGACTGGTATACATCTCCTTTCGACAAGGTGAAGGAAGCAGTGTGTGTCTGGTGATAGAGCTCTGTTTCACACCAAGTTTGTCTCTGGCACTGATGCCCTTAGGAGATTGGCTAAGAGCACTCTGGCTGCCACAGAAACTGGGGTAATAGCTCCTTGAGGTGTTGCGGGTTACTAGTTACTGACCTAGGCCAGGATCTCCAGACACATCAATCAGGTCCCTTGCTAAGTCTGGAGGTCTCCCACAGTGGGGAAAGAGAGGTTCTTGGAGACATCTCTGTTCTGAAGAATGATCCCTGCTCTTAAGACTTACAATAGGACCCTTTTTACAGATGAGACTTGTAACTTCTCTTCCTAGGCCTTCTTGGCAGCAAGGGCTGCATCCATCCTGCCCTAAGCCTAGCCAGGTGATTCCAGCACTACCAATGTCCAACAGCACTCTTTTGTAATATTGTGAGCATAACCATTTCTACTGCCACGAGCAGCTCAAGGCCTAGTGTAGCAGGGCCCACTGGGCATCAAAGCATCCTCCCCACTCAGCCTGTTTGTCTAATCTCCTTGGAGCTTACATAAGCACAGGTATATATGTTCCAAACTGAATGAAGCTTAATAGTGTGGTTTATTCCTAAGGCAAATGGGGCTCACTCTTTCTTCTAAATCTGTAACTTCCAGGTCAGCTCAGAGCTTCCTTCAACACTGCTGGAGGTTAGGGAAGGTGATAAAGGAGCAGTAATCTCTTCTGGATACAGCATTCTCTTTTCCCATTCTTCTAAGTGGAATATATAGTGTTTAAGCAAACAGGGCTGCTTCCCAAGGAGGAATAAAGAGGCAGTCCCTAAGGAGTTCATTTTCTCACTCTTGATTCTTGAGCTTCTCCCAGTGTGGAAATCCTTTGAGTGGTCAGAATCATGGAAGGTCTGTGGACATTCCACTTCATCTTTTATGTCACTCATGGACTGAGTATTCATATTTAAAGATGACCCCATTAACTCACTTGCCAGAGAATCCATGCCCCTCATCTCTCCTGTGCACTTTTTTTTTGTTCCTTTCTTATGATGTGAGAACTATTGCCTCCTCAACATAGTTGTGTAGATGAAGATTGTGTTCAAGGCCCTTGTCAGAAAGCTTTAGAAAGATTCTCTTCTGAATTACCCACTCATATAGTCAGAATGATGACCTCTATTAGTTTCGTAATTAAGAACTGCCCAAAGATTCGCATTCTGTGTTCTGCTCTTCAGATACTACTAGTTAACTCCACTTTCCTCTTTTCTTTGGTTTCTCAGTCTGCAAACTGAATCTGTGAACAATGGACCCTTGCTAAAAATTGAGAACCTATAATATGATAACTATCAACTTCTTTTTCTAGGAAATGACCCCAATTTCCAGGATGCTTTCCTTTGTAATCTATTCTGGATACAGCATTCTTTTTTCCCATTCTTCTAAGTGGAATATATAGTATTTAAGGTTTAAAAGTTCTCCAACTCTTAAATAAATTTTAAAAAAACATAAAATTCTACTGGAGATAAGGGACTTTGCTGACATTGATTCAAGAATTCTACTCTCAGTTATGTTTTCCAAAATAGTCTATACACATCGCTGGGAATGAGGTAATAAATACTTTCCCTATAGTCAGGGGGGGCTTGGTCCAAAGCCTCATCTTGTTTTCTGCCCCATGTATGATGTAGACAAACATTATCTCTTTTTCAGCCTTGGTTTCCTCAGTCACAATATGCCTCAGCCTTGGTTTCCTCAGTCACATAAGATGAAGTGATCTTTTCAGTTCTAATATGTTATGATTCTAAAAATGGACACTAACAACTGCCAATCCTAACTTTATGTTGCAGGGACAGAGTTTGAGGGCAATTACAGAGGATCGGAAGAAACCGTGCAGGAATTTGATTATGACATCTAAAAGTAACCCCCACTTGTAACAATGGACTGTGGCATTGGGAATAATTAGCCATCTTCTTAGACTGGCTCAGGTCTAAGCAGCTGCTTGTAGACTGGGCAGTGCAGGCAGGTCTGTAGCAGAGCGCTTCTGTAGTTCTCTAAGTCTAGTTGGGGTAGTTTGACAGGGCTCTAAGCAGAAGCTTGCAAACCAACTCCTAGCTTAGGACATCAAGATCAAAGCTCCAATACAGCTTTGCCACTGACCTTCTTGCATGGCTTGACCAGAAATGTTGCTTCCATAGCCAATCCTGCTTAGCCTTCTCCTTAGAATGAGAATCCATGGCAGTCCAAGGCAAACCTGTTCATCTGGAGGCTGATTATAGAAACTTGGCCTGAGTTCTCCTCTCCCTCTTACTTCCCAAAGCACTGATAGCAAACAGGGCTGCTTCCCAAGGAAGAATAAAGAGGCAGTCCCCAAGGAGTGAAGATCCAAACTTCATCTGCCCAGGGGTGCATGCATTCTCGAGGGCCTCTCATGCAACTTGGAGCAAGTCTCAGACTGATATTTGCTTTTTCAGGTTTATAGTGTAGTCTGTTTGTCAAAACGAACCTTGAGCAATTTGGACTTATTTGCAGACTTTTAAACCACTGAGGCAAGTTTATAATGAAGAGTCTGCTTTATCAGGGTCTTCTCTGGAAGTTAACAAGAGTTATGGGGTCAGAAAATTCTTCCAGGAGAAAAGTAGTGTAGAGGAAAACCCTAGGAGAGAAGGTGCAGAGAACTGGGCAGGATAGAACGCGGGGGGAGGGAAATCTGGGGTTTAACAAATGGAGATACTTGTGACTGAATCATTTAACTTGACCCTGCTATTTTCCTAGATTGTGCTCAGGAAAGGAGTGCAGGACCTGCTGTCCATCTCTAAGGAGTTTATAGTCTAGCCATACCTTAGCCTAGGGTTTTTCAACCTTGGCACTATTGACATTTTAGGTGAGATAATTCTTACTGTGGGGGTGTCCTGTGTACTGTGGCATTAGCAGCATCCCTGGTCTCTATCCACTAGATGCCAGTAGCATCTCTCCATTTTATGTTGTTATTTTTTTGGCACTGTGGATTGAATTCAGGGATGCTTTACCACTGAGCCACATGCCCAATCTTTATTTTTATTTGAGACAGAATCTTGCTTAGGAGCCTTTCTGAGTTGCTAAGGCTAGCCTTGAACTTGCAATCCTCCTGCCTCAGACTCACAAGGCACTGGAATTACAGGTGTGTGTCATGGCACCCAGCACATCTTCCCCATCTGTGATAGCCAAAAAATGTCTCTAGACATTGCCAAGTTCTCCAGGGGAAGTGGGGTAAAATGATCCAAGTATAAACCACTGCTCCAGGTGTCGTTCAGTGGCTCCTTGGCCCAAACTGTTTTTTTCCATTCATGTCATAGGATTCTAGAGTTGTATATCACATACCCCGTTCTTTATTATATTATAGCATGAAATTTTCAGTTTAGTGATGGTTATCCCCTTGCAATAATAACATTGAAGTAACTAAGGAAGAACAAGCAAATCCAAGAAAAGCCTTGTCTACCATCTTCCTTTAGAATTTGAGTGTATATCTTTTTTTCTCTCTCTCTCTTTTGTTACCCAGGGGTGCTTAACCACTGAACCACATCCCAGGGAGTGAACCCAGGGGAGCTTAACCACTGAACCATATCCCCGGCCCTTTATCATTTTTTAAAAAAATTTTGAGACAGAGTCTCACTAAGTTGCTTAGAGCTTCACTAAATTACTAAAGCTGGCTTTGAACTTGTGATCCTCCTGCCTCAGCCTCCCAAGTTGCTGGGATTACAGGTGTGTGCCCCACACTCAGCTGTATATCCTTTTTATATATATATAATTGAGTAAGGCCAAGAGAAGTAGAATGAGGAGAGAACTAGTCTCTCTAAGAGAAATATACAACCCCCTTTATCAGGAATCCACAATCTCCTCATATACCTCTTCTCCCTCTCTTTTGTGTAAGATTTTCTCTCTTGTAGGTTATTTCTGACTGCCTTGGTTAAAATTCTTACTTTTTTAACTTTTAATTTTTTGTGGTACTGGAGATTGAACCCAAGAATGTTCTACCACTGAGCTACATCCCCAGCCTTTTTTATTTTTTTAGTTTGAGATAGGGTCTTGCTAAGTTACTGAGGCTGGTCTTGAACTTGCAATCCTCCCATCTCAGACTCCCAGTCCTTGGGACTACAAGTGTATGCCACTGTGCCTGGTTAAAGGCTTACTCTAGATGGGAAGATGAAAGTCAAGCCGGGCACTTTTTCAGCTCTTAGAATGTGCCTCTTCTAAGGAAGGTCTGATCTTGTCCTTGAGGAGAAGGGAATCATTCTGGGACCATTTCAGGTTACATGGAAGTCAGCTGCCTAAGTGAAGGCAGGAGAAAGATAGCAGAGGCAGGTGCCCATCCTAGGGGCCAGGGCTTAGGTCTTTGGCCCCACTTTGGTTCCTTCAGACTGACCTCATCCCAGCTAGTGACACCAACTCTGGGTTTAGATGGTAAGAGGTTGTCAAACTTAAATGCCTTTTCCTAACATGTCAGTGCAAGGAAAGCTGGAGGGAAAAAAAAAAGGCCAAAGGGTTTCTATAATCATATCTTTAGGGGGCCTGCTCTGAGCTTTGCATGTCACCTGCTTCAGAGCCAGAGCCAGCTGAGGTGCATCAGGACTAGAGCGCTAGACAGAGAAGGGGGAGGCCGCATGGAGCGCTGGTCTGTAGAGCAGCACGATTAGACTCTGCTTGACCCCAAGGAACTGCATAGTTTTAGAAAACCTTAAAAGGAGAGAGAAATCTTACACAGCTAAGATGGCTAATTATCTAATCTTTTGAGACTAAAATTATGTGTGGTGTTGTTGACCTTGGGCTTCTCTTCTTTAAGTTTATATTTATTAATAAAACTTATTAAATGGAAGAGTACCATCAAGTCTTCCAAAGCATCCAAATAGTAACCAGAGGAGTTCCTATCATCAAATTCCTAGACCTGGATTGGAGGTGCTGCTTGGTTGGGAGCAATCTGAGCAAAATGAGGGCCCAGTCCCTTCAACATGCCAAACGCTTCCTGAGCACAGCTCTGGTTGTGTACTAAGGCGGACAGAAAACCCCACTGTGCATGTCATTTTGCTTCTAACAACAAGCTTTTGGCACAGAGCAGACCGTTTTCAGGGACAACAGCTGGATAAGGGATCAGGCAGAAGTTTGGATCCCCCCTTGGTGAGGATTCCAGCTGACTTTCCCACAATGGCTCCCCGATGGAACCTGTCCTGCCCTTTCAGCCTCAGCTCCACCAAACTGTAGGGTCTCCCTTAACAGGGCAGGGGCTCTCAAGTGCACACCCTATTCCTCTTATCTGGAGCAATTCTCTCCCTGCTTCATAAGACCAAGTTCCCAGAAGTTCTCCCCATTCTGCTGGAGGTGACTTATAGTCTCCTTCAGTGCAGCCTCAACATGATTCTTCTCTATTATGACACCTGGCACATAACAGAGTAATTATTTGTTACCATTCAGTAAAAACAAGAGAGAGAGAGAGAGAGAGAGAGAGAGAGAGAGAGAGAGAGAGAGGAGAAAGAATACATATTATACACGCGTTGCAAGCTCCATAAGAGAGGGATGATTGATGTCTTACTCATTTTTTATTCTTGGCACTGGGCCTGGTGTTCATTATAAGCTTGCTGAAAGGATATAACTGGCCTGTCTTTCCCCTTTTCTCCTCAGTGATTTACACATAAGCCTGGCCAGTTGTCAGATTTTAGTTTTAAGGCTCATTTTGCTTTGTTTTCAATTTTCCAACAGTGTTACAATCAACCCACAGATTTGAGAGAAACTAAGGATCAGAACTTATGTCACATGTTGAAGGCCTGGGAGGAAGCTACCCAGTGATTCTCTCATGCTTTCTGCTGCTCTGACTTGATGGGACAAAACCCATCATTTCTTCAGCAAAGACTGCCTGGGCCACTAAAGATAGTCACAGGGCCAAGGGCTGGCCTTGTATCCACCCCTGCTGCTCCGGGATTTAGGCCTGTGAGAGCAATGCGGCTTTCTGTTCTGGGCCTGAATTCCTGCAATTGGGAGGGCAGAGCCCTCAGTCCCTTCCACAGTTGTGTAAAACCAATTCTCTTGTATAACCTGGTGGTGTCTTTTTGGCAGATTTCTTTGTAGAAATTATTTCTTTGCTGGGTTACACAATGTTAATAAGGATAATTCCCATTTGTCCTCTGATGGTAGCAATGCTCTGTGGTTATTGAGGACATCTTCCTTGCTTTTCTTACCAAGAATTATCTGAAAAGAACACTAGCTTTAGAGCCACTTGACTCTATGGTTTATAATAGAGCACAATTATAGTGGTTTTACCATCCTAAACTGGATTTCATGTATTTAAATGATCGAACCCTTGGTAAACCTAAACTCTCCTGTCCTCTTATACAGGACTAGAGATTGCTAACCACCCATCTGTGTGTTATTACTACGCAGCATGCCACCTATATAATCAGTCTATCCTTCACAGTAATACTTTGAAAGGAAAACAAGTGTATTCCATATCAAATAGCATTGCAAATAGAGCTAGAAAATACAACAGTGTTGTTCCAGGAACCCCAAGACGTGTAAACAAGGTGTTATTCCTGGAGCTGGACTTATCTGTGTTTATACTTGAGGCTTCAGAAGACCTCAAAAGCAGTTAACCAGCATCCTCGGGCCAGCCAGATGCCAGTGGAAGACGAAGCTGCCAAGCCAGCCAGAACAGGTAGTGAGGCCCTGGTGGCAAGCAGCCCCTGGTCCTCTCCAGGTGTCTGCACCTTCCTGGATGAGGTGTGCGATGATCCAGTTCTGTATTCATGTGATTTCCTTTTGTGTGTCGCACTGCCCTATCTTGGCTCACCTTCACTCATTCACGTGAGTTGGCCAGCAGGTAGCTCTCCACCTTTGCACAGCAGTCTCCTCCTACCGCCAACTCAGGAGCCCTGCCATTGAGTTCTTATCCAGTGGCTCTCTCAGGCCACCTCTGTGAACCAGCTGTCTCTATTTCTCCCATCTGTCTCATTGTTCTTCAGGGGAACTGCCTGTTTTAGTCCCCATTTAGAAACATATCACTTCTTTGTTTATTTGAACAAAACTGTCTGACTTTGCCTGTTCTCTACAGCATCCCAGAGACTGGGCTACACCTGAGTCTTTGCTATAAACAGGCTTTGGCTTCTCTCTCTTGGCTCTAGTTCTCTAATTGCCCTGGCAGTTCTCCCTGTGCTCTGGAAGTCCCATGAATTTTCCCTCTCTAGTTAGTAAATGCTTTGGCTCTACCTCTACCTGGACCCGAGTCCACAGAGTCCCACTTCCTTGATGGTTGGTGCTGCCTCAATGGGCAAGGGCCACAGTCCAGACAAATCTTGCCCGAGGCTTCATGAGGAGGTAGAACTCTTAGGTCATACCTTCAGGGGCAATCCTTCTCCTTAACAGTTTGGTTCATTGCTTGATTGAGCTGCTTTGTTTTGGCTGCCTTTGAAAAGGCACCTGTCCCAATCTCTGGGGCTTTCCTTGTCTTCATGACTGTTTATTCTCATTGAATTGTTTTTAAGGAGAGGCAATTTAGTCCCTGACAAGTGGTCATTCAGGAACAAAGAGCTCAGATTAGAGCACCTGATCAAATTATACTGGTGTTTCTAGAGCCTAATTCAATCAAAAGCACTGCACAATGAATGGAGAGAAAGTCAGACTCTGTCCCCAAAGAAGCTACCAACTGGGATCATGTGTTCTGGAGAAAAGTCCCATCCAGGGGCCTTGTTCTCCATTGACCTTGTTCGGCAAACTAAGGCCACAGGATGAAGGCACCTCCTCTAGGCATGGATTGGGACTGCTCAGCTGTTTGAAGGCCTGTGTGGCTCTCAGGATGTTTGAGGTGACTGGGAAAGAGACGACTTTAGAAACAGTTCATTTTGGACAGACTGGCCAAGTGGTCAGGCTCACTAGTAATAGTCTTTATGTGGCAAGAGCTGGGTGGGCACCACAAAATTCTGGAGCTTTAGAAACAAGGAAAAAAGTGAATTTCATTGAAGGGCTTGTAAAAGAAACCACGGCCAGTTTTTCTTTTTTTCCTTAAGACCCCAAGGATCAAGGTCTCTGGTTACTTTTAAACAAACAAGCAAGTACTACCTCCCCGCCAAAAAAAAAAAAAAAAACCAACATACCCAAATACCAAGTTGCATTGTGCAGTGGCCATGGGCCAGGCAGGGGACAGAGCCTGTGATGTATAAACACCTACATCATAGAGGCTCCTGCCCCAAGCACCTCCCAAGCCACAGACTGTTTCTCGTGTTCAGGTTACAGGAAGAGGCCTAGGTAGGGAATCTGCCCATGGAGCCCTTCTCTCTGCCACTTGGGTGGCCATGAGCTGGTCATGGTAGCCTAGGAGCAGGGAGAACAGGACACTCTGTCCTTGGGAATAGCTCCTTGCATGCCTGCTCTGCTTACCCTAATAGCAGTCCAGGGCCACCTGAGAAAGCCAGATCAAGGACACACAGGGGCCAGCCTCACATTAGGGAGGCTTTACAGGCTCCATGTGAGATAGCAGGATAGTAGGGAAGGGGCATAGGTTGCTGGACCTTGGGGGATCAGCTAGACTCTGGCCAGAGGACAGGAGAAGGAAGGAGTAAAACCTCCACCTGCAGCATCAAGTCTGGTTCCCCAGGGTGTCAAATGCCCCAGAAGCATATTCCTGGTCCTCTGTTAGCATCTCACACTGGACAGGACTGTCCTGAGGTTTCAGTGGCCATGGTGAACTTCATGGGAACAGGCTCTTTTGTGTGTCAGGCTGGGTGGCCGCCATCTGCTTCCAGTGTGAGTTAGAACCAACACTCCTCCGCCAAACAGATACACACAAGTATCTGTTGAGATCAGACCACCACCAGAGAAGAGGGTTTATGTAAACAGAGACTCTTTAGATGGAGAACCTGATTGGGAGAAAGGGGAAGAGTTGTTAAGAACTTGGAAGCATCAGGCTGGGGGTGGCCAGAGAAGATGTCATAACTGGGTTCCTGTGCTCACTCAAGAAGGTAGATTTACATGAGACCCCCCTGGGAGGTCCCCAGTAGGCCAACTGTGGGATTTTACCTTAGATGTCTAGGCACTAATTCAGACTCACTGAGGATTCCTACCTAACCCACCCCTTCTGTCCCCAGTAGTGACTTACTAGACCATAGTCCCCTGGTTGTGTGTAGAAGAGAAGGGAGGCAGGCATGGTAGAGGAGTTTGTCTAGTAGTACCAAACAAAACCAGAACCAAATCATGATAATAGAGTGGGTGGGGTGGGGGAGAAGGCTGGTGGCAGATTCCTGAGGAAAATGAGCAGGTACCATAGTAGACAACAGCCTGCCACTGAGGCTGATTCTCAGCCTTCCTCCTCTTCCCTCTTTGGCCACACTGTATTAAAAACTAGTCTTTCTCTAGCAAAGAAACTGTTGTGGTAAAGGAGCATGGGAAGGAAGAATAACAGTATGAATCTCTAGGTAGGCATTCCCTCTGCTCCCTCAGATAGTCACCTGAGCCAAGGGTGACCACCCCTAGAAGGGTTGCAGAAGCCCTGCCTCACCAACCAAACAAAAGTTGAGTTTCTGTCAACACCTATCAGACCCAGCAGAGTTGGACTCTAATTTCTAATCTTTTCCTCCCCCTTTTAATTGGAAATCCTGTCGACCCAGGACTAAGTGTGGGTATGTGGCTGACCGGCCGTGCATGCTGCAGCTGGGTGACCCCTGTGATTCTCAGTGTGATCTGGGCCTGTGATATTTCCAGCTCTGTTTCTCTGTGCTGTTGCTCTGGCTCTGGACCCCTCCTCACTGAGTCTCACTTTCAAATCACTCTCTAATTCAAAAATGAACTGCCAATCATGTTCTTCTAATGAAAAACCTAATCATTCTACAGCATGTGTACAAAGGATCTACTTACGACCTTCATGGGAGGGAATGGTGGGAGGGCATTGCCTGAAAACAAATGTAAGCCCAATGTGGAGGTCAGATGACTGTCCATGTGACCTTGGCAATGGGCTTGATTGTTTGGGACCCCAAAGGAACTTGGGGATAAAACTGATTGATAGACATTCCAATGGGCCTCAACTCCAGGAAGCAAAGATGGAGTGAGTTCTTATTCTGTGGTCCAGGGTTTCTCAAAGTGTGGTTCATGTACCATGTGCATCAGAATCAGCTGGAGGTGCTTGGTAAAATGCAGATTCCTAGGCCCCACACCAAATAAATTATATCTGGGTCTCTGAGAGTTGGGGGCTTTTGTTTGTTTGTTTTTGTTTTTTGTTTTTTAAATCTATATTTTGAACAAGCTTTCCAGATGATTCTTGTGCAGGTTTGAGAAACCCTGCTGGAAACCACTACATTGCAAATGGCTCCCTTTAAGTACTCCATCCAGTCCCACTGAGCCACAGACCAAAATCTGAGGCCAGAGATGGGGAAGTTTTGTCTTTCTGAGAATGATTATGCAGCTGGGACATGATTACACTCATCTACTGTGGGATGAAATAAAGGGGAGGGAGGGATGTAACTTGTTGTCCACTGCCTCTTCACCAGGCATCATCCTTTCAGTGGCCTTGGCTGGCATTCTTGGCATCTGTATTGTCCTGGCAGTGTCCATTTGGCTTTTCAAAAGGAAGAAGAGGTGAGCTGGTTTGGATTCATAAGTCCTTTATGATTGGTCCATCTGGGAAGACAGCCTTGCAGAAGGAAGAGCCCCTGTCATTTGAATCAACACAGTCTAGCAGGGCTGGTCCCACACATCCTTGCCCCAGCCTCCTTTGCAGCAGACACTGATTGTTCAAGGGTCACTGTGCTCAGATTTGGGGGGTGTACACCAATCTTGCTGCCATTGCTGATTAGCCGTGTGACCTTGGACAAGAGGCTTGAGTTGGGTTTTGCCTAAACACAAGCAGCTATTCTTACTAAGACTTTTCCATCTGGTTTTCCTTCTATAAATCCAAAAAGAAAAAAATGAAGGAAAACCTCATGTCTCACATTAGTATAAGTACTCTTGGTCCATAGTTTGTCTTTTCCTAAAACATAATTTATTCTTCCTGGTATGAAAGATAAAAAGGTTTCCAGGAATTATGAAGGAATAATGGGACTTCCTTCAAACTGCAGGTCTGATATTTAAAGACCAGTTGGAAAATGAAGAGGTTCCATTTTGGTTAATGCTTTATTTGGGGGCATTCTCTCCTAAGGCGAACAGAATTGGGAAAGATCCCAAATAGTAAAATCTGATTTCTAAAATTCCCTCATTGCATATATGAGTCAGACTGTTCTCTTTCTCCCTCCCCCGATTTTTTAACAATACTTGTTTGTTCTTATTGTTCCAGTAGCAAAAAAGGTGACAACAAGGGAGTCATTTATAAACCAGCCATTAAGAAGGAGACCGAGGCCCATGCCTGAAGTCCCTGGCACTCCCAGATGTCCAAGGAAGGAACTTGTTTTGGACACCACATACTTTGGCTCTGTGAACACTTTACAATACCACAAAGTGTTCTTTGGAGCTCAACCTACAAACACCCCATACCTTTTGGGGGCCTCCAATTGGGCTTGCCACTGCCTGGTGCCACTATCACCCCCATTGTGATCCATTGATGGGATGAGCTCTAGACCAGAAGGTGGGAACTTGGAACTGACTGCTCTGTGTGAGACGGCTGTGCTGTCTGGATTCTGGGTCACAAAACAAGCCACCTGCTAGTGACCTATTACTAGTTGGAAAACACTTCCATCCTGGTTCTCACTTGGTATGTTCTCAAGTGTCCTGGAAATTCGTCTTATTCTCCCAGCTTCCAGGCTAGAATGTATACTCTCTGTTTAGGCATTGCTTTTGAAACTCAGTTTCTTTCCTTCCTCCTTTGGATTTCCTTCTGCTCAGATAAACCTTCAGTCTGACCTCACAGAAGAATTGAGACAGGAAGGATCAGGATGTCAGAAAGAAATGAAAACAAGAGATATACTGTGTGATGTAGTGGGGGAATTTTCATATTCCTGTTCCTTGGGTCAGAGACCCTGATTGGACCTTAGAATACAGCAGTCTCAAGTTCCATTTCTTGGTGGGGATGAAAGGGTAACAGAAAGAAGAGAGAAAAAAGAGGGGGAGAAGTAATGGGCAGACAGACATGGTCTGGGAGAGTTTCTGTGAAGTCAGCACTGGAATCACAAGTCACCTCCCAGCCACCATGTGAGAAGGACTGAATGTTAAGTTCAACCTACACTCCCATCAGTGAGGCAGTTGTGTTTTATACTCTACAAGTTTTATTAATAAGTGTTCCTTGAAAATGAGTTGCTTCCTGTCTCCTAGAGTAGATGTAAGTTCTGAGATGATCTGCTTTTGAACCTTCAGAAAATAGGCAGAAACAAAATGATTGTAGAAATTTGTCTCTTTTGCCCAGATATCTTTCTCCCACTTCTGTGACTCTCTTACTGCCAACCTGGAATCAGGGACTGTCTCTTCCTCTGACTTTGAAGGTTTCTGATCATGTTTAGTTGAAATATAGTTTCATGCTACAAGAGCAGGAAGCTATCTATGCAGGGGCTAGCATGGTCCTGGTATTTAAGGACCAATATTAATGGAATGTTGCTAAGATTCTGCATTGTTCTTCCTCCCCAAGTCACAAAGACTAAGAAGACAATTCTTTCCTCATTTTCCTCCCATAGAGGTGGGAGCCTTGTAACAGTCAGTTCCATGACTGAGAAGGAGCCTCAACCACTAGCCCCTGATAGCTAGTTTCCTGCTTGTAGTTCACAGGGAACTTTCTGGTTCACAGTCTCATTTTGACAGCATAGAATGTCCTCTCTTGAAGCACAAGTTTCTTTATAATATCTTCCTCATTCTACTCCTCACTCCGACTTGAAAAATTCTTTTTGTCACTGCCATAACTTTTCATAATGACAGCAATTCCTATGTCTTTGTAGCCTGTTTTGCTAGGCAAGTTTACAAGTGACCTCAGATGTGTGTCTGTGTGTGTGTGTGTGCACATGAGCATGTGAGACTTATGACAGCCTTGGAACCAGGTGTGGTGTCCCAACCTTGCCATTACATGCCTGTGCATTATCAAATGACAGAAAAGACAACCCTCATGACCAAGCAACATGAAATAGGTGATTTCTTGGCCTTGGTCCAAAATTGCCAATCAGAAACTAGTAAAAACCACTCCAAACCAGCTGGATTGTCTTTCCAAAAAAAACCCTCTGTATACATGAATGAGTTTTATGAGAGAACATAGAGATCATTGTACCTGGCACAAGGGCAGGCTGTTGAAAGGGAGACTCACTGGAAGGTGAAAATGGTGGCTTTTATCCTTCCCTCTTCCCCGTCAGCATGGTCCAGGTACTCAGCCCTCATGGCTGAGATGAAACAAAGCCAGAAAAAATGCTCCAAGAATCAATGCTGTCAACTTCTTTGCTAATCCTGCAGGACTCCTGAAGATCCAGCTTTCCTCAGATTCTTACTCATTCCACTGACACGAGCTGTCACTGCAGGAAACCAGTGCTGTCGCGTGTGACGCACAGCTATCCTACACTCGCCACTTAACTCTGTTGAGTGGTGGGTGCCTGGGAGGCTCCAGTGGGTGTTGTGTTAGGCACATGACAGGTACAGCCCACAGAAACAAGGCACAGGCTGAGGGAGCGACATGGGGAAGTCCCTGGCTTCTCCAGTCTTTCCTTTGCCTCTCACTAAAGGGGATCTCGAGCATCTTTGATTTGCCTCTTTAGTATCATCTGGTAAAAATCTGTATGAGTTGCTTTAAATACTAGAGTTTCTAGTATTTGCTGTGCTGACTCCCCTAATCTCATTTCAAGTTCAGATCCTAAATTCCACTCCCTTGTGGGACTCTATCAAGACCTCGTGACAGGCCTTTGGGAAGCACTGGGGTCTGTAGCACCCCTTAGTCCCTGTGCCTGGGACCATAGGCCACCGTGGTGATGGTCTGTTGAGCACTTCCATATTTATTGCCACAATGATTGTAATACAGACATATCTGTAAGTATAATAAATGATAAATAAAATGTTTTTCACATCAGACCAACTTTTTTTTTGGCCAGGGGAGGTACAGTTAAAAGCATTACTATTGCAAAATGCTTTGAAGCTCCCTATTATGGTGATGAGTAACAAATGAGAACAGTCATTGTCATTGGCATCCAGGTCTTACAACCTGACTCCAAAGAAAAATACACAGATGGACTTAATCACTGAGTTGAATATGGAGGCCTATGTGCAGCCCCCAGTTGCACAGCTGCTTAGTCAGCAAGGCTGGGAAATCCAGAGTAACTAGAGCCAGGCCTAGGGAGAGGGCGCTGTGCAAGCTGGGGCTTGAAGACAAGTCAGATTTGAACAGATGGGTAGAAAAAAGGGGGGTATTCTGAACCAAAGGATTGAATATAGGGAATAGGTCCCATATCTCTTCTTGCTTCTGAGAGTATTTTATACAGCAGGTGGATGGCTTCTCTTGGTTGCCTCTTACTTTATTTTGAATCTGTTTGCAAAATATGCTGTCACCTGCCCTCCCCCACCATATAATATTTTATCTAAACAAGATTTCATATCCTGGTTTGCTAAAATAGACAGTCCTGTGAAGGTTACAGGTAAGCACCATCACTGTATGAGTTATTTAGAAAAGTCTCCAATTTTCACTTTATCGGCCCTAGGATGGATATGGGTGAACTATGCAAGAGTCATTTGCTCCAGGAGGTGATACAGCAGCTGACCCAGCTTTGAAGTAGAAACATTACAAATCCTCCAGCTTCTAACTGTCTCTTTAGCTGTAACTCAGAGATTCTCTGGTTCTACCTTTCAGCATCCTAGGTGTCATAGCCATTTGCGAGGATGATGCTAGGCAGCAGAGAGACAGTCTACTGAAAGGCAGGAGCCTTGGACTTGCTCCTATCCCAGTGGGGATGGGGTAGGGAAGACATTTGAGTACTTGCTGTAGACTGCTCACCCCCTTTGAGGGTCTTCCTTCTCTATCCACAGCCTTCCCCCATTCCCTGAGTGCAACACTCTTCTGAGTTGATGTCAGGCTGGCAAGAGCCATGAGTTGGCAGAACCAACTTGGGTCCTTCAGCTTTGTCATTATCTCATCTAAATGCAGCTGAAACAATCTCAAGCCCATAGCCCAAAAGAATGTGAGACACATGACACATGTAGTCACACTAAAAAAGAGTAAAGAAACCAGTGACATTAATTCTAATAACATTTTAAAAATCCAATAGATTTCAAACACTATAATTCCCACATGTAATTAATATTTTAATGAGATATTTTAATTTTGCAGTACTAAGTTTTCAAAATCTGGTGTGTATTTTACACTTACAACACATCTCAATTCAGATGCTAAATTTTCCTTGTAAATATTTGATCTGTACTTTGATTTCATCAATTTTACTGTTGAAAAGCAGAGTTGCTCTTAACATAGTTAAAGTTTTCCAAATTACTGAATCTATTATCAGCTTTTAAATTTAAATTGATTAAAATAAAATAAATTGAGCTTCTCAGTTTCACTAACCACACTCCAAGTGCTCAATAGACACTTGAGGCCAGTCCCCACCTTGATGAACTCTGCAGATGTGGAGTGCTCAGCTCCTTTGAGATGCCCTTGAAGCCTAGGGAACTTCCACACAGAAATAAACCCTGGAGGAACATCTTGGGGTCGAGGAATGGGAATGGGAGATAGAAGACGAGGGACATCTAGGTGAAGGTGAAGACATGAAGGCAGGAAAATGAAGCCAAGATGAATGATTAGCAGCAGACTCTGGACTCTTTCCTTCTCTCCTCCTACCTTGTTCCCTGCTGCAGGGGGCAGCTTCTTGACCTTCCTGGCCCTGACCACTGCCTGGGGTCCAGGTGCTCAGGAGTGTCAGCCCTGGGGCATTCCAGTGCTTTTGCCAGAGTGTGGACTGCAGGCTCATGGACACCTGATTAACAGCAGAAGGACCTTTCTGTAGCACCCCGGCCAGGTGCCAAAAATGTACCTCCCTCCCCTCCCTGCTCCACACGTTCTTTCCCACCTCTGGTCCCCATGGAGCCCTGAGGTTCCCACACTGGCAAGGCATTTCTAGGCTTCTGTAGCCTGGCAGAATGAAGGGAACAGTTTCTGGCAAAGTCTGCTTTTGTAACTAGTTCTGCTGGCCCCTATGCTATGAACAGAGGACTTCCTTCAAGGTAGCAGAAGTCCCAGGGCTGTTCCCAGGAGGAAACCTGATCTCTGGGGCCACCTGCTGGGAGGTGGAGGCACCATCCTCAGTCTGCACTGAGGCCACCTCTGAGTAGCCATCCAAACTGGAGATGACCTGGCAAGGACACAACACCCTCAGGCTCAGATTCAACTGTCACAGGGTGTGGGTGGAAGGTGTGAGGCCCAGACAATGCTATAGGAGTCCCCCTTTCCACCCATACCCCTTCA